TTTTGAGCATAAAGAAGCATACTTAGAAATGAATATATGAACATAAAGATCACGTATGTTTTAAAATTCAGAGAATTCATAGAACCTGTAGCACAGACGTAGAATGGGGGAGGTCTGCCCACTGAATAATATAGTCATTAAAGGGCTTCTATTTAGATGGCTACAGGATTGGTTTCCTTTCAAGAAATATTTATTAAGTTGATTATCATGCGCTGAGTGCTTCTGAGGATTCAAAGGTCAACAAAACAGACATGGACACAAGGTTAACATTAAATGCTATGGCAAAGAAGTCACACAGTTTTATAGGACCACAAGGCACAGAAATAAACCCATTCCACAGAGCTGGATTAAAAATTCCTAGCAAAAGTGGGAAATAATCTTAGACCTAAAGATGAAAAGGACTTTTCCTCAAAAAGGTCTTAAGTAGAGTGAGGTGGGGAGGAAGGAGAGCATTTCCTGGTGTGATAAGAAAACACAAAAATTAAGTGGGTGGTGTTCAGTGAGGCATTACACAGTAAAGGCAACAAAGTGAGATCATGAGTGAGTTCAGCAAGAGACATATTGAGCAAATGTGTCTTATAAAAAGCACACTTCGGTTGTGGAATAGAAAATGAATCCAGGCGTCCACTTAAGAGTGTCTTACAGGGAGACGTTAAAGACACAAGGGCGATGGCACTGCGAAAGAGAAATGCAATTCTGTGAGCTGCTCTGAAGACTGGTGACTGCCGAGGGGAAGACGAAGAGGCGGGCTTGCTCTGGAGCACTGGGTCAGGTGGAGGTACCTTTCTCTAAGGACAGAATAAGCCTGGAGGTTTAAGCAGGAGGAGGAATTGATTTGATGGAGAAGATGCTACAGGACAGTAACCCGAGACCCTCAAACAGAGGTGTACAAGTCACCACATGACATCCAGAAATCTAATAAAAATGGCACGAGTTAATGTTTAAAAATGTGCATTCCTGAACTAGCTACACATGTCTTAATTATGTGTTTAAATGAGGTGATGGTGACGGGCTGGAGAGTAGAAAGGGTTGAATTGTGTCCTCCACAAAAGTATGAAGTCCTCGTCCTCCAGTACCTAGAGGTTCCCATATTTGGATATAAGGTTGTTGCAGATGTAATTAAATTAAGGTCACAGTGGAAGTAAAGTTGAGCCTACACTTAATAACCGATGTCTTTATAGGGGGCAGGAGATTTGGAAACACAGAAGACAAGGCCTTATGGAGAAAGGCAGAGACTGCTGCGATGCTGCTGCCACAAGCCCAAGAGTGCCAGAAGCCGGCAGGACGAGGAAGTGGCAGATTCTTTCTTAGGGCGTTCGGAAGGCATGTGGTCCTGCAAACAACGGGACTTCTGACCTCGCGAACTATTAAAAGTAAGTTTCTGTTTTTTTAAGTCATTCAGTTTGTGGTAGTTTGATAGAGTGGCTGTAAGAAAAAAACAAACAAAATAAGGCCAAAAAGTTTGCTCTATGCTTCAGGCAAAACTGGGAGGGAGATTATAAGGCACCAAATGAGAATAATTATAATAAGACAGTTCACCACCTTACACAAATTTGAACCTAATTAGGTCTTAGACTCTGTTTTTGCATTTCAAAACTAGGGACGATAGTACTTAACCCTTAATGCTGTATCTGTGTGTGTGTACTTGGCAATTAAATCACTATAATAAGATAGTATCAGGCAGAGTAGATGTTATAAGTTAGTGTTTATTCATCTATGAGTACAACTTGTCAGTCTATTGTTTTCATAATGCAGCATGGCTATGGTTGCTGGGTCAAATCTGACAGAGTCACCCACACCTTCACTACTCTGAAGGTAAAGCTAGATTACAGTCTGCCATCATTCTAAAAGTAGTTCTCAGCTGGGTGCGATTTTGTCCCACAGGGACATCAGGCCATGTCTGCAGACGTTTTTAGTTGTTACAACTGGGAGAGGCACTACTAGCAAACACTGCGTAGAGCCCATGGATGCTGCTGAAACCGTTTACAGTGTGCAGACAGCCACTCACAGCAAAGCATCATCAAACCCAAAGCCAACGTGCTGAGGGCCAGAAGTCTGCTAGTGGTACAGGGAGCTCCTAATCACAGCTCCAAATACCAAAAATTCACTTTGCCCCTGAGAGTATGCAAACTAAACATGTTCTTTTGAAATCTGGTAAAAGCAGAGTGACTCACAAGCAGCTCAGAGCTAACGAAAACTTTAAACTTTCTTCTAATATTCTAAGAAAATGAAAATTTCTGACTGTGAAAAGAACCCTATAGCTGCTAAGCAAACCCAGGTCTGCACACACTAGAACATACATGCTCTGCAGAGCTGAGAGGCCATACGCTGAGCAATTTATAAAGTGTACTCAGCTTTCCAGACCAGCTGCAGTCTGGACTGGAAGAGGGAGAGCAAACTGACCTCTTAAGGAGAAGAACCCAGTAGCTAGGAAGCCTCCCTGAATCTGAAAAGTACTGGAGACTCAACAGCTAAACTCCTTGACTGGACTGTGGTATCACTATCAGGCAGTGGGTGTGTGTATGAGTTCTAAAGAGCTAGAACAGGTAAAGATCCCTTATCTGCACCTTGAACCCAAATTTAAATTACTGCCTCACTCTAAACTGCTGTATCTGTTCTGTTGCTGCCTCTGGTATGCAAAGCATTTGCAGTTGCCTCCTTGAAGCTATCATGTAAATATGGCTGTGCATTCTGTACATTTTTAACTCACTTTGTTTATCAAGCTTCTATGGTCTGCTTGTTGCCTTTACACATATTCAGATCATAAGCAAGTTAAGCCTCCAATGCTATTTTCTTCATTAGGAGCACCTTGAAGTATGATGAACTAATTGATAAGGCAAGAAAATCTAGGCTGCGATAAAAGTAAATCGAGGGACTCAGGCTACCTTCTCTATTGGAGCTGTATTATCTTGCTCTTTCTGTTAAAAAGAATTTAAATTAAAATATACCTGAGCAAAAAATGTGAGCTAGCTAGGAGAGAAATGTAAAATGGAATGGCAAAACTCCCTATGGAGAATAAAAGACTGCTAGGTAGGATGGCAAAATCTTTAGTTTTAACTTTCAGAAGTTTATATGTATTACCTTGTTCAGTGCAAGCTCAGGAATAAAAGTTGCATATTCTTAATGTTTTCATCAAGCTGGCAAAGTCACCATAGTCAAAACTACATTATATTTAATTACAATATTTAACTGGTTTGGTACTGTCAGTATGTAATTTACTATTTAAGTCAAGAGATTAGTCAAAGCTATTGGTTCATTTAGACAAAACAAATATTTCAACAGCTGGAAGATGTTAAAAGTCAAGAGTTCTGGCATTTGAAGACACTATACAATTACTCTCCCATTAAAAACAAAACATTTTAAAGAAAACCAAGGGAAACCAACAAGACATTAAAATAAAAAATTATAATATCTGTCCAATCTTTACTTATAAAATTATTAGCTACTAGAACTACTTAAGAATACCTCAGGTAAAAAAATAATTTCTCCTTGGAGGTATGGAAATACTATTTTCCCAAGTACAAAAAAAAGTTATTGCTATCTTTATGTATTTTTCATATCCACAATATGGCTTTTCAGAGATAACCATACAAAGTTTTAGTTTTACCTATACAGCTAAGTGGCTGAAGATCTCAATATGGTTTGATTACAAAGAAAACCTCAACCCCTTTCAATTTAATTTGAATTCAAGAGCTACAAAGTAACGTAGAAGGAGCACTGACAGAAGTATTTCATGATAAATTTGGACATTTACTTTGTATTTTCTCAGGGGTCTGTTTCTGCAATTCCTTCCACTTGTCTAAATTCTACCCCGTGAATTACCCCTACTCCAACACACACCATCAAGTCAGGAGGCCATTATTTCTTTCATCTAAGAAAGGAAACACTACAGATTTGTCTAAATCCATATTACTCTAAATCCATATTCTAGAAAAGATGAGATACTTAGAAAGGATCATCAGAAAAATATTTCACAATCCCACATGTGTTGGGTACACTTAATACAGAATATTTCCTAAAGAAAGACAGAGTTGAGGAGGGGTGTGTGTGGGTACGTGTGTATTTTAAGAGCGTGTGTATATTTTAAGAACAGGAACAGTTTGAGAGCACAAATATTACAAAGAAAAGGCTACTATGGTATTCCTCCTGGACATTTTCCACAGCTGGATCTGAATATCAGAGGCTCCAACACTGCCAACCAAGGTACAGAGGGCCCTCAAGTTATGACCAGCTTGACATACAAACAACTTGGGTTAATTCGGTTCATGGAATATTCACCTGCCTCTTGTTATCTATAGCATGTACTCAGGTAAACATCCAGACCTCAGCTCTACTGACTACAACCAACTTGAGTTACAACCAGCCCTAGGAATGTTAGTCAAGGGTCCACTATTCTTTCTTCCCTTTAGATGGGAGGATGTTTAACACCTCCCCAAGCCTTGATGAATTTTGTAGAATAACAATCATTAAGAACTGTGGATTTTCAATTAAGTTACAAGAAATACTGGAGTTACCCCCGGCCTCTTTTTAACTATTTAATCTGTTTTATACACAGGTTCTATGGCAGAAGAAGTGTGAAAAGCAGTGAAAGGGAATTTTGAGATTGCTGCCTCCCAGAATGTCAAGAGAACAGCATGATATCCATGTGTAAAATGCTTAGTAGTTGTTTGCACAGGCTAAAACTCCATAGAGATTGACAAGAACTATGAGGCTGATAAAGACTCCAGTCTTAAATACAGAGGTGACTTAGGGAATATGAAGCACAGAGGCAACTTATTCAACGTATTCACACTATGTGTCTAATATCTCAGGTTTTGTTGTTGTTTTTTTCTCAGTACCAGGGATTGAACTCAGGACCTTGTGCTTGCAAGACAGGTGGCGGCACCACCGAGCTAAATCCCTGGCCCTCAAAGTTTTAAAGGTGATCACCCTAATGGACCCCTGAATTAAAGAAGTGTAAAACTGGAAGATTCACCCAACAACACCAGAGGTAGGCTCACCTCTTCTTCTTGGTGATAATGAGGACGTCGTTAAAGAGAAAGAAGTAGACTTGCTGTCTGGATGTCCTCCTCGAGAAAAGCACAGTGTCTTCTACGTAAGCTGTCAGCTCACCTCTTTTCACCAACCACCGGGAGGAGGAGACTAGAGGAAAAGGCTAGAGAGAGAGAGAGAGAGAGAGAGAGAGAGAGAGAGAAACTCAGTGCCAAAAGCCAAAGTATTTCTAAGACTATAGAAAGAGAAACGTAAGAATTACATTTAAACCTATGATATATACTATGACAAGTATCATTATTTTATAGTTATGTAACAGCAAAATGTAATTACAGAAATATAGCAGATTCTTCAAGAAAATTAAAAATAAAAGCTTGCTTCCTATATAGAAAACCATTAACTTGCCGTTTTGAAACTAAAACTCAATGAGAAAATGTTAGTGGGTCATAAAGTTATGAACCTTTGATTTTTTTTTTTTTTTTGGTACCAGGGATCAAACTCAGGACTTTGCGCTTACCAGGCAGGTGCAGTGACACAGAGCTAAATCCCTGGCTATTAACTCTTAACTGAGAAAGAAAATTGAAATCAGTCATTCAAAATTGAAAAGCATAGTAATGAAATCTATCAGTGCTGATGGTTGCTGTTTAAAATATTTCAAACCACAATATAAACATACAGAAATACAAAAATAACTACAATTACCAACAGATAAATGTAAAAGTCTGCATTTACTTAATGAGCTACGAAAGGCCTTTTTAAAGCCTTATGTTTTGTCTTACTTATATGCTTAGTCATATTTGTGAGAACACCTGTTTTAAGTTTATGATAATTTTCCTCATATAAGTTTGTCACTGAAAGCATTATGCACTTTCTGGCAATGAAATGAGGTTATTCTAAAATAATCCATCATAATCTTATAGAAAAAAACTATATCCAAGGTATTGCTTATTGTTTTTTCTTTATTCAGTTTTGTATTAAGCCAACTGAAAAAACTCAAAACCACAGAATAATCCATACTCTTGAGAATTCTCTTTTGTAGGGGGTGAAGGGAATTACCAGAAATGCTCACTGCCAAAAGTCTGATTTTTTTTTAAAAAAATCTGTATCCATCAACTAAATAAAAGTTCTTGGACACACAAATATAAATGTAGCAATGTGGCAGAACCAAGTGTCATCCTTTCAGGGAATGATGATTAGCTAAAGGAAAATGAGAACATCAGAGAGGAAATGAGAAAGTGAAGAAAAGATTTCAATTTTTAAAAAAAATTTATAAGAAGGTTGCTCATCACTCACATATTAATTCAAAAAGGAAAATGAAAGATTATGGTTAACCCCAAACTTTTCAAAAGTGGTTATTAAGGATGTTCACAGAGAAGCTTCCAGCCCTGTACCTTTCCAGAGATATTTTAGGCAGAGCAAGTTTTATATTTAACATCTAAATCTTTTTTTTTTCATTTAATGATAAATAAGAGACCCAGGGATTTAGCTCAGTGGTTCTACCACCTGCCTCGCAAGCGCAAGGACCCAAGTTCAACCCCCAATACTCCCCGAATAATAATAAATAACAGAGCTTTCCATAGATACATAAAACTCACCATCTTTAAAAAAAAAGTTGAGTAGTATTCCATTATTTGGTACTACACTGTACCCTTCTATTACAAACACTACATGAATAATCGTGTGTGTTATTTTATACATTCATGAGCACAGGATAATTTCTTAGAAGAAAATTTGTTGGACTGTAGTACTTTACATTTGTAACTTTGCTAGCAATTAACAAATTGCCTTCCAGTGGGATCTTCTCCACAAGCCACATATAAAATTGCCTTGACAATGAGTTCTATGATTTTACCAATAAGACATGTTCTCAAATTTTTGTATCACGTATAAATCTAAAAAATGAAATTCATTATCTTAATTTCAATTAGTAATTTTCTTCTAAGAAAAGTATATTTTCAAATATTTAATTGTCATCTGTATTTCTGTCAGTAGTTTTCTTTGACTTGTAATTTTCTAATGGGTTTTTTTTCTCATCTTTTTTCTATTTAATTTTATAAAATGGGGATTTTAACTATCTGTACATAAGAGTAACTATTTCTTTCCAGTTTGCTACTTGTCTTTTTACTTTTATTATCATTGTTTCTCCTAGAGAGAAATTTTAAAAATGGTCACATAGATAAAATTAACATTTTTCCTTTTAATGGCTCTGGATTTGATTTAGCTCAGTGGTTTTTGCCACCTGCCTTATAAACACAAGAGCCCGAGTTTGATCCCTGTCTCCCCTCCAAATATGGCTCTCTGGATTTGAAATAAATTGGAAAAGCCTTTCTCAAATTGGTAAAGTCATCTTCCCTAAACACACACCTGACTTTGTCACTTTCCCTCTTAGAAGTTTGCAGTGGCTCCCAAATGACCTTCTTCAGCTCTTCCACTTTGCACAGGGAACATCCATAAGGTTCTGCTTGCGCTCCTTTTGCACCCAATTCTATCCACACGAAATGCTTACAACTGTAGGGCCACAGCAGTGGAATGCACTTCCCATACATGTAGTCCTGCTCTTTATCCTGGAAGACCCTTCCTAAGTCTCCTCTCCAGGATCAGATCAAACATACTTCTCCTAGGAAGCCTGGCCTGGCTGCTCCAACTCTGAGAGCTGTCCATGTCCTTCCCTTCTCTGGTGTTCTCTAGGTCTTCCACCTACTGGATCTGCTGCGAACCTGGCTGACACCTTTGACTTTCAGCAACCATCGACTAGATTGCTAGCTCCATGAAAATAGGGATCACGTTGTTCTTCTTCCGCTGCCTTCCATAAAGAAGATGCTCAGGAAACTTGTTTCAAGAATGCATATGCTTGGACAAATCACCTAATCTCTCTGAACTACTTTCTTATCTTTAGAATGAATAAAGATGTCCACTGTTATCTACAAAGTGTCATGAGATCCGACAATCTAATTTGTATTGACGAACATTTCTAAGTGGTGTGAATTAACCCCTCATGTTTTATGAGTCATGTTTCTTCATCTAAATCATTACAGGCAGAGTGTCACAGCAGATGGCTTTATACTGTCTGGCAGGTCAGGATGCCTGGACCCTAGTTCTTATTGTACCACCACTAGTCCAGTGCCTCTGTCAATAATTGTCCTCTGAGCTTAATTTTCCCCATTTATAAAATAAAAGGGAACAGTTGTATAGTATCAATAGCCTTCAAATTCTACTCTCTGTACAGAGTATCATTAAATGCTTCTGGCCACTATAATTCACCACATAAGTTAGAACATTTTTAGCAGGAAAATACACAATCAATCATTATAATTTGCTTAATTAAATTTTTGTGTTATAAAATTTAATACTCATAGAATTACACTTGTCAGCATTCACATACAGTAAGAACTCAGCTGTGAACTAACAGAACTGGAAGAGAACTGGATTTGCCATTAATTCTCAGTATTTTCTTTGTTCATCTGTCATCTGGCGAGGAACAAGCACTAACAGGCAGCATATATTCAAAAAACAGTTACAGGAGACAAATAAACTTAGAAAAACTGTCCATTAACAACTTTTCCTGCAAACAAAAAGAGTGTCCTTATTTGATTTAGAACAGTCTGATCCAACTCTTGGGATTTCACTGTTTTGCAGGACACTTTGATAATATTGGAGAAACTCCTCCTTGTTAACACCAAACTCCCTCTACCGTATTTAAATTACCTCTTTCCCTAAGTTTGGTGTCTTCCTATAAAAACATGCACTTCTTAGGTAATACCTGACTTCACAGCATGGACAAAGATCGCGCTGTCTGGCAGAAGAAAGAGCAGAATTTCCTGAGGCATCTGCCACTCCTTCTGCTGGATCTCATTTTATCAATCTATGTCCCTTCTACAGAAAGTAAATTTCTATTCACTTTGTTGTCCTCAACTGTCTGCCTTCATTTAGATAAGATTTAAGCAAAAGCAGCAATCCATATAAGTACAATGATACCTTAATTTTAAATTCCAGCTGGGAGTTAATGGTGTACATCATCTCGGTCCTCTCCATCTTTCGGGCTCCTTCATTGCACAGCCGAACCAACTGGAAACAGAGAAAGAGGGTTAAGAGGTCCAGGAGAGAAACCTCACTTTCAAATGCGGGTCTCTCACAGGAAATAAGGTAACAGATGGGAAGCCCCAGGGAGTGACTTCTGATAGTTGCAGAACTCAGTTTTTCTACAGTTACATCTTGCTACCCAGGTAGAACTAGTGTGGTCAGAATGTAGGCAGGAGAAGAAAAATGTCCTAAACACTTAGAAACACACACCCTTTGCACTCTTCTCATACTGTTCCCTCCTCACACAAGCATTCACTTCACAGCTCTGCTCTCTAAACTTTCTGGTCCACTCCTGGGCCCTTCCTCCTCTCTATAATTGGGAACTCCACCCAACCTCAGGGCAAGCTACATCCTCTCCCACTTCCAAAGCACAGCAGCAAGAGGCAGACCACCAACTTCAAAGCCAAATCTAAGCCCAGTGCTGTGAGCAAAGACTGCAGCCAGGAAAGGATGGGGGAAGCCTGCAGGGGAATGGGATGATCAGTGCCTCCTGAAGGACTGCCAGGCATCGGAAGTTCGGTTGAATCGGAGCCACTGAATTCTGAATTATCTCAAAGGAATCATGACAATAGTTCTTTCGTGAATACCTAACACCTACTTGGTTTACCAGTCTACAGCAAAACAAACTGTTTCTCCAATTTTTTATTAACTGAAACATCTGGGGAAAGGGTCCATGTATGATTCACTGGCCGTAAAGACAAATGTGATTGTTAAAATAATGGCTGGAAATTTTATCTTTAAGAATCACGCTTTACTAAATAATACACGCTCCATAGAAAAAGTAAGTAAATAAAATAATGATGATACTACAGAGAGATATTTTTAAAAGGTCATAAAAGTCCTGATCTATTCCTATTACTTAGAAGTAATTGGAAACAGGATGAGATTTATTTATCTTCCCCCCGATGCTTATGTGAATGTACAAATACATATATATATTTGTAGAAACTTTTCTTTTCTTTTTGGGTCAGCCTATGCTTGTCTGTCACTATTTTTCATTAACCAATCGCTATGGACTGAATATATATGTTACACAAATTTATACACTAAAATCCTAAACCTCAATATGCTGGTCTTTGGGAGAGGATTAGGTAAGGAAAGTTGCTCCCTCATGCGTGACAAGAGCAACCTCATAAAAAGTGATGGTGCCTTTCTCTGCTCTCTCTCTACCATGTGAAGATATCATGAGAGGGAAGGCCTCTGTAAGTTGGGCAACTGGCCTTCAGTCAACAACAGATCTGCCCATACCTTGATCTTGATCTACAACCTCCAGAAAGTGAGAAATAAATGTCTGCTTTTTAAACCACCCAGCCTATGGGGTTCTGTAATTACAGTCAGAGTATAGAAGTATTTCCTTTACAAATATATCAGCCATTGGAAACAGAATACTTTGTTTAGCGCCTGCTATGTTTCAGGTGCTAGAGTTTCAACACAACAAAAAGACACGTAACCCTGAACAACATGAAGGGACAGGCAAAAGACACACACAAAAAATCATATACTGAGATCATAAAAGAATAAATGAGAAAATGGTGAAGTCTGAACTGAGGGGTCATTTACACCGAGAACTGAGAGAGAAGAGGAGCTGGCTATGGGTAATAAAATGGTCCAGGCAGAGGGCACAGAATGAGCAAAGGAACAGATGGCAAGGTGTGTGTGCTTAGCAAGTGCAAGTAAATCTGGACCTAAGGGAAGGTGGCGGGGGATGAAGGTAGCAAAGAGAGGCCATCAGCAGGCTCTCAGGAAAGGGGTGATACGATCTGGTTTACTCATTTCGTTATACAGACTTTCACAGCGTATTTATTCAATTCCCTACTGATGGACACTTACACAATTTCAAACTGCTCACATGACAGCTTGATTTAGAGGATTACATCTATCTTCAGTTACAGTTTATCTTTGGCTTTCAGTGGCCTGAGTTCACTGACACAGGAACTGATGGCTGTAGCCGATCAAGGTTAAGAGTTAAAATATGCTAGCTGGAGTCAAGGGCAACCTGAGATTGGAATTCTGAAACTGAACAGGGCACGTCAGGGAGAAATCCAAGCGTTGTGTTAGGCAGCTACTGATCATAACATACTTTTATGATTTCTCTTGCTGTATATATTCAGAGTTCCCAAATCTGTGTTCCTAGATGCGGTCTGTCTCCTTGGCTCTAGGTCTAAGCACCTAGGTGATAGCTCCTTTTCAATGTCCCACAGCTGTCTTAAATTCAGCATGGCCAAACTTGAGCATCATTTTATCACTCTCTCTTTTTTTTTATGGTACCGGGGATCAAACACAGGTTCTTGTGCTTGTGGGGCAGGCAGCAGAACCACTGAGCTAAATCCCCAGCCCCCCAGTTTTTTTGGGGGGGTACTGGGGATCTAACTCGGGCACTTGTACTTGCGAGGCAGGCAGCAGAACACCTGAGCCAAACCTCCAACCCTTATCACTCTTTTACCCCTCAGCTGTGTATTTCCTACCCCAACATCTGCTTCCTCTTTTTCCTCCTCCCCAAGCCAAAAGCCTGGTCTGCTCCACTCAGGCCTCTTCTTTTCCTCTGTCCCCCCATAAAGAACCTCGAAGCTCCCTCTCCCATAAAGAACCTCGAAGCTCCCTCTATGTCTTGATGTCTACTTCTGTGCTCTGCCCTGCTCCCCGACCTCTGGCTCAGATGTCTTCTTTGGCCTGATTCTCTCCATTACTTCTGATCTATGCATACTGCAAAAATCAGGATGTCCATCTTTCTAAATTCATATCTGATCAGGAAACTCCTTAGTTAAAAATCCTTAAGAGGCTACCAGAGATTTTCAGAACCACGCTTCAGCGAGACCCTTGATTACATGGTGCCCACGGCACTGGTCTCCAGTGTCCCACTGCTCCATCATGGGTCTCAGCCTTCCCTAACGTGTGGCTCTGTCCTGCCTTGACACGTCTGCATGTGTGTTTACCTCTGTCTGAACACCTTCTGTCCCACACTGCCTAACAGAGTCTTACCTACATTTACACAGCCCACTTAGCTTTCGGGGCTCAACCTGGACTTACTTTCCTAGAAGACTGGAGAGCAGAAAACTATGAAATTGCCATATGCATAGCACTGGCCTAACACACAGTTGGGACAGTCACAAATGTTCCTGCATATATAAAGGCAGGATATAAGTCACTTATAAAAATAAAGAACAATTCTTTTATAGTAACATCTTTTTAAAAATAAAAATGAAATTATGTGAGTTGAATTGTCATCTTATTCCTTAAACGTCCAAATAACAAATTCATCAACAAAAGTTGGAGTCATGCCACCACTGAGCAAATCTTGAAGAAAGCAAAGGTGCCTCAGAAGACATGTTAGAAACAGCAAAATCCCTCAAATATCTTAAGCAATGATACCATCAGTGGCATCAGTTGTGATGCCTATTTTGAAGGGCCAAACACTAATTTCAGCCTGTGTGCCCTACCGTTTTTATTAAAATCTGCCCTAGTATATTAAAGCCAGACCTTTCTTCAACAATACCAAAACTTAATTAAATTTAGTTCAATTTTTTGTTTTAGGCCTAATACACATAAAAAACTCAGCACCACTAATAAAGAAATATAAATTAAAACAAAAAAACCAATCACTCGACCAGGCGTGGGGGCAAACGCCTGTAACCCCAGCCCTCGGGAGGCTGAGGCAGGAGGATCACTGTGAGTTCGAGACCAGCCAGGGCTACATAGTGACTTCCAAGACAGTCTCAACTACGTAGTGTGACTGCATCTCAAAACAAAACAAAACATAACAAAAACGACAACAACAGAAAGCAAAAAATTAGTCACTCAAATTCACAAGACTATTTGGTATACAGTAAAACAGGATACACACATTCATATACTTGTGGTCATCGACATGGAGCAACCTATCCAGAAGGTACTTTAGCACTTGAAACAGGGGCTTTAAAAACATTCTTACATTTTTCTTCCCATAAACCCAATTCTAGAAACTTGTCTTAAGAAATAATACTATAAGCACAACCCTCAACATAAGGCAGTGTTCAGTGCAGCACTATTTAGAACCCCGAACGCACTGTGGAGCACATGAACCCGTTCTTAGATGTACATTTATTCCTAGCTGCTGATACTGGAATCCAAGCTCAACAGAAGGATCCACATTAGAATGGCAAATAGTCACACCTGAGTGATACAACTAATTACTCATACATTTTATTTCTGCTGCTTTTTTTGGGGGGGTACCAGGGATTGAGCTTGGGGACCTTGTGCTTGAGAGGCAGGTGGCAGAACCACTGAACTCAATCCCCGACTCTATTTCTGTTTCTTATTTAAACTTCCTGTAATATATATCTATTACTTCATTTACTTTCAAAACATAACTACATGAAAGTTAAATGCGTGCTTACAGAACACGAAAAATAAAAGCTTGAGCTCTTCCCATTTTCAGACTCCTCTCGCTTCATCATAGCTAGCTACAGTTGAAAGACTGACAGCGCGATTACTAGGATTATTTCTCTATATTAATGACACACAGGCTAAATGTTTAATTATCAAATGTCATTACACTATTTCTATTAGCTTTCTTGCTGCTGACATACAATACCCCAAACCCACAATTTAAAGTGGGAGAGATTTGTTTTGGCTCAGTTTGCAGAAGATTCACCCTGGCTGGATTCAAGGTAGAAATGGTATGGCAGAGTGGCTTGGTGGAGGAAACATGTTCACTTCGTGGCAGCCAGGAAGCAGAGAGAGAAGGGAAGAGCCAGAGACAAGAATGCATCCTTCTAGGTCACGCTCCCAGTGACTCACCTCCCACTAGGACCCACTGCCTCACAGTACCTTCAGCCATGAGCTCATCGATGAATTCATTCAGTCACTCTCCGAAAGTCCCACTTCTGAACACCAGACGTTCAGAGGATATTCTAGATCTAAACCCTCACCATATTGCTCTGCATTTTCATTTTATTCACCGAACAACATAGTTTAGATGTCTTTCAGTGTTGATACCTACCATTTTGTTAATTACTTAAGCAATATTGCAGGAAAAGATAAAAAACATCCTGCCTAGGTACTCTGCCTCTAGGAGAAAAGCTTACAAGATTATTCCATTTATAAGGATTTTGATAAGGTGAGAATTAGAGCAGATATTCTTTTTCCATGAGAGTAAACAAGAGAAAACAGTAAAGAAGATACAACTTGGCTTCAAAAACAATCTCTCTCTCTCTCTCTCTCTCTCTCTTTTTTTTTTTTTTTTAGTACCAGGGATTGAACTTGGGTCTTTGCGCTTGCAAGGCAGGCCACCAAACCGCTGAGCTAAATCCCCAGCCCGAAAAACAATCTCTTGATGACACAGAAGACTGCCCTGACATGTTGAGCTATTAGAATTTTTAAAACCTTCCTGAAAGCATCCAGTATGTTAACAGAAAACCAGAGATTAAAGACATTTTTCTTTTAACAGAAACATCTTTCTTGTTTTTGAGTTGTTTCATTATACCAATAACCCTTTCTAATGCCCTAAATTCAGTAAACTGTCAAAATCAGCCTTAGCAGCATGCATGAGCAAATCCACAGAAGTATCATTCATACTATGTAAATTTTACAAAAAATGTGTCACTGATTCCCACTTCCCCCAAGAATGTGTAACTACCTATAGAGATTAACCTACGAGATTTAGGAAGACTGTGGTTCTAAAATCTTGGATCTCAAAAACCCAAATTTAATTTGCTAAAATAAAATACTGAAATTCTTTGATTTTAGGTGATGCAAACAAATAATACTCAGCATTTTAACTGTGAACATAAACATTTTATGTACACATTCCTCTTTTTTGTGTGTGTGGGTGTGTTTTTTTTTTGTTTGTTTTTTGAGACACTATGTAGTTGAGACTGACCTGGAACTCACTATGTAGCCCAGGCTGGTCTCAAACTCACAGCAATCCTCCTGCCTAAGCCTCCCAAGGGCTGGGATTACAGGTGTGTGCCACCATGCCTGGCCCTTTTTATTGAAAATGCTGGCATCGTTTATCCAGAATCTATTGAACCCCATTAGTAACCTTCACAAATAAAAAAGATTAATTTCTGAGTTGGTTATACTGATTTCAGTTCCCTTATAATAGGAGATGGTGGGAATAATTCTGATATTCATGACTCACATTCAAGACAGAGGAAGAAACATCACCCTTTAAACATCAGTGATTAAAGCCAATCACTGGGACTCAGTGACAACAAAGCACAACTCATCAAACTCTGTTACGTCTTAGTTCAAAGTTAAAAAGCTTCTCCTAAAGAGAAGAAGGTACCGTCCTTTTTTAGGGACATAGCAAGGACTTGGTGTTGTGGAGGAGAAACCCAGTAGCAGTAGGACTTTCAGTAACCTCCTATTTGTCAGGCTAAATTTCCTCCCTTGTATTCCTAAAGTGGGTATGCAGACCACAGAGAGAACAAGAGATTAATTTAAGTGGCCTATGGACATACTTATTTTTAATATAAAAATGTGTGTAAGAAGAATAAACAACTAGCTCAAAATACTCATGGTTTTGTAATGATTATTATTGGCAAGGATCACTAAAATGATGGGTCCAGTTAAAGCTGATTAAAAGAAATTCACCGTACAGCGGTACAAAGGTACTCCATTCATATACGGGGGTAATGAAGATGTTTAGGAAGCTGGTGGTGTCTTTGCTTCTTGGTGTGTAACTCATGTAGTATTCTCAGTACCTTTTACTGTTTCCTCTCAATGACATTTTCCCAGTGGTAACTAAACATACCCACATCTTTAAATTCATTAAACAAATAAAGATCCTCTCCACTTCCCTTCGTGGCTAGTCTCTTTCTCTTTCCACTGTCAGGCTGATTCCTGAAACAGCCGATGTTTGGCTGGCAGGCTGCATAGTCACACCGCCGCTCCTTCCTCAACACACTCCACCCTGGCTTCTGCACCCGCCTATCAGATGAGAAGCCCACTGCACTCTTCAATACTTACCTCACTGTATCTTTCAGGGTCAGTCAGCCCCGACGACCATCAGATTATCTGCATTTGCCAAGGCCATGTGCTTTTCCTCCTTTTTCTCTGGCATGCCTCTTGTTTTGTTTTGAGGCGTTCTCCGCTGGCTTCTTATGCCCAAACAAGAGCATGCACATTGGTGCTCCCCAAGTTCTTTCTCACCCTCACTGCCCTGCTCATTCTATACCTTCTCTAGGTAACTGCACCCACTCCCAACTTCAATTATTACGCATACGATGATGACTCCCAAATTCATATCTCCAATTCAGGGATCTTCTCTGAGCTCCAGACTTGTTTATCAAGGAGAATTGCATGTTTTATAGGATCTTAATGATAGCATGTCCAAAATGGAGCTCATTAACAACTCTCTGCTCCTGCTAGGGATAAGTAAGACCCAGGTGCCCAAGCCAGAGACCTTATTTCTTAACTTCTGTCCCTAAGTCTGCTCGCTCAATCAATCTCCAAGCCTATCTGCCTAACATATAGTTCTGTTTCTCAAGGCCCTTCATGTCTTGCCTGATCAACTATAACTGGCTCTGTGATTCCATTTGTAGCTGGACCCATCTCCGCTGTCCTCTTCACAGCAAATGAATTTAGCGCTTCCATGTCATCTATGGTCCTCAACTTCCTATCATACGTAACAGGGCCCCACAAAACCACCTCTTCAGTACTGTCTCTCTTGGACTAGCCCCTTTAAATTCTCCAACACTCTCCTGCCTTTTGGGGTCTATGCGTTGCTAAGACATTCTTTTCCAATTCCTGGCTCTCAGCTACTCTTGCTGTGGGTCTCACATTAAACACTGTTTTGTACTTCCTTGTCGTGTCACTCGTCGTGCTTTTATTATAATTCTGTTTAATGTCTGCCTTCCTCTTTACATTGCACATACCATGAGTGCAATTGCCACACCTGTCTGATTCATCACCGTATTCTCAGGGTCTGGCACAGGAGCTGATACTCAGTAAATATTTATTGAGAAGAGAATAACTAAACCATTCACATGCCAAAAGAAAATGAAATATCTATAGGTCTTTAGCACAAGACTGTCTGAAAGAATAAAAATACCAATTTCATTTGTGCAAGTATTGTTCTGCTTTTCAACACCCAAAGAATACTGTGCATTTATATGACTGAGAACTTATCACTCATCTGAAACAAACCAGGACACGCTCTTCTCCAGGGTTTCTGCATGGCTTACTTTCTCATGAGCTGTTCAACAGTTACCTTGCTTACTTCCTTTAAGGCCCTTTTGCAGACTTCATACTTTGGAGAATCCTTAGGTGTTTTTTGACAGATAGTCTATAATGAAGTAAAAACAAACAAATTCAACTGGTTCATCTACAATAGAATAAAACCAACGTTTATCTATTTGCTCTTACTCTCAAAAAACTCAACAATGCTGAACACAGTATTATAGACAAGGATGAGGTAAGACTCCACAGTGAAGTCAGCCTGTTTTCAAATCCCAGATCTGTCTTCTACTAGATATCCAACCTTGGGCAAGTCATTTGCTCCACATAAGCCTCAGTTTTCTCATCTGTAAAATTGGAATAACATCAATTGCGTTAAAAGATTGTTCCAAGGGCTAAGTGATAGTTCAAATAAAGTAAGAGTTCCTCAGGCAGCTAAATCATGTCAAAGAAGGTCAATTCAAGATAAAACGAATCACAGAGTGTGCATGTCTCATCTGAAACTGAAATCCGAAGTGCTCCAAAAAATCTTTTTGAGTGTAGATATGAAACCACAGTTGAAAAATTCCATTCCATGAAACTTTATTTCACTCACAAAACTATTAAAAATATTGCATGAATTACCTCCAGGATAATATACAGATATAGATATACGTATAAAGATAGAATATAGAGATAGAGAGAGAGAGAAAGAGAGGGAGGGAGTGAGGGAGATAGGCAGGCAGGCAGGCAGAGAGACGAAATGAATGAAACACAAATAGACTTAATGTTTAGACTTGGGTCCCAATTCCGTAATACTTCCTTATGCACATGAAAATACTCCACAGTAAAAAAAATAAACCTAAGCATTTTTGGTTAAGGGATACTGAAGTACATACAACTTTTGCAACTATACACATTCAAACCCCACAGATCCATTTTAATGGCTAAAAATGTTCATCTCAATTAACAAGTTTAAGTTTCCAAATGTAAAATTAAAGAAATGACATTTAAGTACATTTAGATTTTGCCTGCGTGGCCAGATCCTAACATGGAAAACAGGCAGCATGTCTAAGTACAAGGTGGCTGGAAACTAGCAAGCCACTAGGGGCCTTATATATGAATGAGTAGCAGGCTTATAAATCTGAAAGTTAGGCATCAGAATTGGTATATTTGAGAAGCACAGAGTGTACCATATATGGATGTATATTAGTGGTTTTCAGAATTTTTTATATACTGCAAACAGCAAACATGCACACGTAAATTAAACGAGGTTTTTATGAAACAATATTTAACCGCAACATGAGCCATACACACATCATCTATCTCATATTCTACTCCATTTTTTAAACTAACTCCCCCATGATTTAAATCAACTTCATAACCCACTAAGGGGTAAAAAGCAAAATGAAAAATACTGGATTATGCCCTCAACAACAAGCATACTTACTTGGGGTCCATATATTAAAATTTGATAGAAAATTTTGCACGTACATGAATTTTCTGGGGAAAAAGGATACAGCTTCACTTAGAGCATTAAAGGAGTTTGTGACTCAAAAAGTTGAGAGGCCACTGGGCAATTATGGCATAAATACCCAACAGCACACAACATGTTATATTAGATTTTGGAGTCTTGTTCTAGTCAAATATTGTCTTTTTTTTTTTGGATACCAGGGATTGAATTTGGGACCTTGTGCTTTCGAGACAGGCACTGACTGGAACCACTGAGCTAAACCCCTGGCCCTTATTCAAATACTGTCTTAAAATTTGGTTTTGCCAGCCTGGCCAAGTACTACTCTCAGACACAATAAATACTGATTTTAAAAAATCAACTAAATATCCTAAATTTCAATATTCTTGCTTTAGTCATGTGCAGCACATCCATGAGTCCATAATGGACCACATATAAGACAGCGGTTCTATGAGATCCCATCACCTAGACAGAGTCTGCAGCTGTCTTCCTCCGCTTAAAGCTACTTCACGGTGTTGGTACAACGAAATTACCTAACCACGCATCTCAGGATGGATCCCGTCATTAAGCACCTCATGACTGTGTTTGTGTAGGAGATAACTTCCTAAATGAAATCTGCAGGTGATGGGTGACAAGGGAGGGCATAAACAGGGGTCAGTGAGGTGAACGTGGAGAAGAACAAGAGCTGTGAATTCTGAAACAAGAAACGAAGCCTCCACAAAACTGCACCAGCGTCAACAAAGCCACTGTGATCACACGTCTGATGCGTTTCAAAATGTCACAGTTGTTTAGAAGGTCTTAGAATGTAAGACAGACTACAGAAAATGGAATTTTCTTTTTTAAAAAATCCTGTGTTTTGATTTATAAAAACGGATACTATGTCAACACGATGACTCCATTTTAAAGGGGACGTGTGACAATCTCTTCTAATCAGATCAAAAGACACTATCTGGCCCACTCCCTGGGCGGGACCTGTATGGGCCCCCACTCCATCGGCCTCTGTAGGTCAGCAGGAGCAGTCTGCTCCCAGCCTCCACATCTTCCAGCTGTGCTTTATGCCAGGCAGTGTTTGCTCACTCCCCCAGCACTCTACTATCCAATCAAAGCCGTTTTCTTCATAAATGTGTCCTAACACAAAAAAGAATGCTGGGCTTTCCAAATCCACTCTTCTCGATGCACAGTAGGAGCAAATTCGTGCTTTGAAATGCTGAAAAGAGTCTCATTCTCGTGGAATGAAAATGGAAGCCCTAGAGCATCTTGGAACATACCATAGGGCAGGAAGCTTAGTAAACAACCTGAGGAAATGAGGCCCAAACAGAGTAAATGACCTGCTCAAGGTGTATGTGTACAGGCTCAGCAAGGAACGGAATCCAAACTCCTGGCTTCAAGAAGCCAATATTCTTCCCATTTTTAAAATGCTGAGTAATTGGGTGATAATCAAATTTCTCCAAAGTGACACACAAGCCTAAAGTAAATATAAATTCCAGACATTTCAAACACAGGTAAAAGTTTTCAACCAAATAATACCTTCTTACTTACTTAGCTGATTTTACAGACAGGATATGGACTAATTTAAGTGGACTATGGCAATTTGCTTAATCAGATACATAACAGTGGAACTATTCACACAAAAAAAGGCCACCAGGCATGTCTTACGTCCATCAGCAGGGGAAGGCGGGTCACCCTCTGCATGGGGAGAATGAGAAAAGAGATCATGGGCAGGTTCCTGCAGTCTCCATGGGACTCGATCCGAGACAGCACTTCCTTAAAGGAGGGATTGGTGGCTCTGAAGGAAAATTAAAAAACGAAAGAGAAACTTAAAGATATTTCCTTCTCAAGCAGGGCAGCAAGGAAAAACATACTACAGAAAATGTGTTAAATTCATGTTATGAGTTATTTTAAATATATGTAAACAACATAAACACATTATTACATAGGCAACCAGGTATGACAAGGATGAATATAAGAAGTAGTCACAAAACAATATTGATAAGATAAAAATGTTTATGACAGAACTCTGTTAAAATGGAATGTCAGCAAAGGAAGAGGTGCCGGTAACATAACAGTGGACATGCCAAATATAAACTGCTATGCAGACTAGATTTCATATCTGATCATCTATAAATACATTCCACTGTATAAACACAGTAACAAGTAATATGGTTTAAGCCACTCCTCTAGCCCTAGACAATGATCTACGAAAGACATATTGGTTAGACTGGGCTTATTATGAAGAAGCTTTCGGTCTTTCTCAACGGCCCTCTTTCTGATACAATAGCCATTTGACTACATAAGCCAAAATACATCTTTTCCTCTCCACTCAGCAAGACCAGTGGTGCTACTGCCGCAACACTTTCATAAAACTCAGAAAATTATTCCCACATATATATCTCACATGGAATCACACATATGTTTAAGAAAGGCAAGGTGAGGACTCTGATAAAAGCATTAAACTTAGAAAAGTCTCTAGTATGCCATATAACACACATTTAGCAGCTAGGAGAGACAGAAGTCGAGTCTTCTCTCAACCCAGTGTTCTGATGAACAAACCCGGCCCCTCAGCTCACTCTACCTTGTAGAGGTCTCACTAAGACAGTGCCCGCTGTCACCCTTCATGATGAAGGAGCACAAGGGGTCACCCCTGGGCTTTGCATTCCCACGCTTCAGAAAAAAAGAACCAGGAAGCAACATAGTGGAAATAATGATTAAAAATAAAATTGGAAAATTCAGTCATTTGGTTCAAAGCCACTAGAAATAAACTGGGCAAGACCAGAATACCAAATTAAAACAAATCATACAGAAGTGGTTTTCATTTTCTCAAAGTGAGAAGTTTCTTTTCCCTGACAGCTTTGAAAAGATTTTTAGGAAGTTAGAAAACAAAGTCCACATTTGTTGCATATTAAAATCACTCATGTCCCAGGTCCCTTCCTTCACCCCACAAAGGTCCTGATCAAATAGCCTAAGATAAACGGAGTATTGTTTAATTGCTGGGTTTTAAGGATTCCTTGGTGTTTCTAATGTGCCTCTGAAGTTGAGTGCTTCCAACCTCCAATGCACACCAACAGCCTCAAAGTCTCTGAAACTCTAATTTCCATGCAAAAGCTGCAAGACGATATTATTCAAGTAATTTAGATAACACCTTTATTTTTGAGTCACATAATGCATAGTAGTAGCTATTCACAAATTTTTAAAATCTTATAAAACGAAATGATTCCAAAGTTAGCTCTAATTCAAGGCTTTATTTTCAAACTTGACCTGGCATTCTCTAAGAGTTACAGAACAACCTCTGGCCCTACATCAGCACCTCAGCAGGGTGTGGGGTTAGGGGAAGTGAATGGTGTGATTTTTGCCCCTGCAGTAAGTAGAGACATTTTGGTATCAAGATCATAGAGGCCAAGGATGCTGTTAAATATCCTACAGCACACAGGAGAGCCCACCACAACAAAGACTTGGCCAATCCAAAATGTCAATAATGCAAGATAAACCCTCCTTTACACCAAACACCTCATTTGAAGCTGGTAGACGTGGCTTTTCCACCCTGCACAGATGAGCATTGCATCGTGACGTGGAGGAGCGAGGGGGACAATCAGCCCTTCCTGACAGCGTGGAGACCTTAACTATTTCTCCAACAGGCAGTCAGCACTGACCCATCACCCACCATCTCCAGGGAGAACTCGCACACTGCAAAGATGACCAGAGTTCCACGCTATAGTCATAAATGCCACAACTCACAGGAGGGGTGAGAATGACATCAGGCAGGAAGCCCTCCAAGCTGGTTTTACCACAGCAATTTACAGCTGCAATGTGAAAAGTACTTGTGATAAATAGTCCCTAAAAACAAGACAGAATAGATACTCCTGCACAATCCTACTTTTATGGAGTCGGCATATATCTCACATCACAACACTCCAAAGGACCAAGAGAAAAGGTGTATGGTGGGGGGGAATTAACACTGGGTTCTTTTTTGCAGCGTAATTAAAATCTTCAATAATATCCTTTTCTATTACTTTTCATCACACGCCAACACCCCATCTTCTCAGCCCTAACTACTCAGGATGTGGAAGAGTGGGAAACAGCAATTCTTTTTTTTTTTTTTTTTTTTTTTTT